GTGAGTTCAAACCCCTAACTTCTGGATAGTGGTCAAGGACTTAACTGAGCCACCAACAGACTCCGTAGGGAGGATAAGGTGGTCAGTTCTTTCAGAAAGGCTTTGACTCATGAGTTTCCTTTTGCTGAGTCTTAAAATAATAAGCTATGTAGTCACCACGTGGAACAAATTCCCCCACAGAGGGAGCTTAAAATACTGCAGAAACATCTGTTGAAACTGACAAGAGACACTGCCTGAGAAGGGCCAGGCAGCCACAGCCGGTGAGTCTGAGCAATGGGAACAAGACACATCACAAAGAGCCCCAGTGGCCACGGTGGACCTTTGAACTCGATCCTAAAGCCTATGCAGAGCTGTGTAAGGATTTTTGACCAGGGAAGTTGTGTGACGTCACTTTTCAAAATATTAACCAGAAAACTCTGTATAAGGTGTGATCTATTAGGAGACAATTCCCATAGCCCATGGGAGAGATGACGAGGGCATGATGGGAAGAAGAGTTCATGATGGGACTGGCAGTGAGGTCGTGAATCCTGTCTGTCACCCTCTGGCTTCTGCTCCCCACCAGGCTGTAATGGTTGGGGTGCCTCATACTCACTTCTGGACCCTCTTCTCCACTTACCCTCTGGCCTCAGCAATCTCATGTAGCCCACAGATAGTAAATACCAGCCCTGTGGTATACGTTCTAGCCCTGTCCTGCTAGCATCCAGATTTCTCCTTCTACCCCAACATTCAACTTGAATAACTACTTCCACTTGAGATGCCTAGTTGCAACCTCAACTTGCATGCGTCAATAATAAACCTGCTGAAAATGACCGTTGGGGATCTCCTAAAGCAGTGGTTCTCAACCTTCCTAATACAGTTCCTCATGTTGCGGTGACCCCCCCAACCATAAAATTATTTTCATTGCTACTCCATAACTAATTTTGCTACTGTTATGAATCGGGCAAACCCCAAAGGGGTCATGACCCACAGATTGAGAACCGCTGTCCTAAAAAAAAAAATTAGCTGAATAAGGTACACACATCCAAGATTAAAGACAACGAATGGGAGAAAACATGTTTAGTATAAAGCCAAACCAAACTGCCATCGAGCTGATGTCGACTCTGTGACACTATGGGACAGGGTAGAACTGCCCCCCTTAAGTTTCTGAGACAGTAGCTGTTTACAGGAGTAGAAAGCCCCATCTTTCTCCCTCAGAGACTGGTGGTTTTGAACTGCTGACCTTTCAGTTCACAGCTCAACTCGTAACCACTATGCCACTAGGGTTTCTGTGAATAATATAGAACATGTTCAAACGTGGGTTCTCATAAAACGTTCATTGAGAGAGAACTGTAGGCCAGTGGTTCTCAGTGAAGGACAAAGTTGTTGTGAGAGGACGTTTGGCAGTGTCTGGAGGCAGTTTGTGTTATCACAGCTGGGCGTGGGGATAGATTGATACTGGCACAGGTTGGCTAACAATCAGGAGTTGCTTCTAAACAGCCTGCAGCGCGCCAGACAGCCCCCACAACAGAGAATGAACCCACTGGACATGTGGAGATTGAGGGGCAATTAAACGCGAGCACAAGGACTTCAGGGACAAGGGTTTGCTCTGTTGCTTCTGAGTTTGGCCTACTCCCTGGCACATGGCAGGTGAGCACATGCGATGATCCCTTTCAGACTGTGTCTGTCTTCAGAACCTCAGAACATTGGAGGGAGCAACGAGAACTAGTGGCTCTGAAGCCGAAACTCAGAGGACAGGAGACTATAACTATATGTTACTAGCATATGCCCTAAAGCAGTTAGCACCCAGTCAATTTCATCCTGCAGTGACCTTATATCTCGAAAACTCGCTGCCATAGAATCGGCGCCACCTGATAACAGCCCTACAGAACTGCCCCTGTGGTTTCCTCGGCTATCTCTCCCATGGAGCAGCTAATGGTTCCGAACCGCTGGCCTTGCCGTTAGCAGTACAACCTGTAACTCCTGCACCACTAGGGCTCCTCAAGACCCTCTATTGGTTTTAAGAAAATGAATATTAATCGCAGTAGACAGCCTCATCTTTCTCCTGGTGGAGAGGGCTGGAGGAATGAACCACTGACCTTATTTATTACGGTTGGCCATCCAGTGCCTATTGGAAACTCGCCACCAGGACCCTACTGGGGCTCCTACCCACTTCCACTGAGTCAATTCCAATTCATAGCAACACTGTAGGACAGAGTAGAACCACCCCTTTGGGCAGTTCTAAATCCTTATGGGATGAAACAGGCACAGGGGTATAGTGTGAGGTGCTGACCTTGCAGT